GAGCGGTGAGTATCGTGCCGCATAATCCAAAGGTTTTTCCGCCATGTGAAAATGGCGGTTTTCGAGTGGGATTATTCCCGGCCCCCTGCTAAAACTACACTTGGTAAAAATAGCTACTTGGCTAGTGCACTTTTTTCACATTGCTGTGCGCTGGGTTCATATATTTAAATATAATTATATAGTATAATTCAAATGTAATTTGTAGACAACATGCATAAAAATACTGTTCATTGTATTCATTTGGCAGAAAATTACATCTTCAAATTTTATGTGCGAAGACGGGATAACTTTCATTTTGGAACAATGTTGTAAGTTACGTTTGTAAGATAGTGAAGTGTCCGTTTATGCAGCATCGTATTTGTCCGCTTACGATGTTGCTTATAGCAAGTTGCACATCAGTTGCAACATTTTGAGCCCTATGCGATGTCTTCTTGATAACGTAGAAAAGTGTTTGATTTCCATTACACAGAAAGCACACAGCATGTAGTTTGGAAACTAAAATTGCGACCGTAACTGCATGTTGGCTCCGGAAGCTAAGGTGCCTTCACATATATACTGTGAGGCGGACAAACTTCCTCCAAATGAACACAGGAAAAAATATCTCTGTCTTTTTTTCCATCAATTGCATTTGAATTTATCAGGACATCGAAAATAATTACGGAAAAATGCATATCGCTTTAGCTTTGTCCGGACTATAAGGTGCACTTACCTAGAATATATTACCGCGAGGCTCCTGACTACGGATTAACGCAGCGCCGTGTACCACACAAAATCACTTCGAGCTCAGTACTAAAAATTAATTAATATAGGAAGCGCACTGCCCTTTTTAGAGAAAATTGAAGGCTTTTAAGTGTGTCTTATAGTACGAAAAATACGGTAGTCATTTTCATAAAGATAGTTTTTATGGTGGTCAGAAAAGGCGCTAGTTACAAACCGGCATCCTGGCGCGACTGACGTGCTCTCAGATTACGTGGCAGGATAATCAATAATCCACCCCTCCCCCCTCTTAGTAATCCTTTGAACCCG